AATTTTTGGATCTAGTGTTCGATCATCTCCGCGAGGCTGGACTTGTTGTATCGCTGGAGAAGTATCACTTCTGTAAGCCAGAACTGCGGTATCTAGGTTACTTGATTGACGGTCAGGGTCTTCGACCAGATGCCGAAAAGGTGGAGGCTATCGTAAATATCTCACCTCCTATGTTGAAAATGTTACTGAAGTTCGTAGACTAGTGGGCACTGCTTCATGGGACAGACGATTTCTACCAGATTTATCCTCACTACTTGCCCCTATACTCCATCTAACTAAAAAAAAACCACCTACACACAACCAAAACTACAGCAGAAAAAAGAAAATGTCCCTGGACCGTCTGCGCACGCAACCTCCTAAAAGAAGGTTAAATGAGTGGCCTTGAAGAAGTCTCGTTCGGCAGAACATTGAAAGGAACAGATAAAAGCCGATAAAGCAGGTATTTTGATAAGAAGGTAAACATTCATATATGGCTGGTACGTATAAACATCATAAGATGGCGCGCTGGTTGCAGACTGAAGGCAGAATCAAATCTGTCTACGAGGAACCAACAATATTTTATGAGGATATTTCGAAGATAGTCGTTAATAATACTATAATATTAGTGTACAAAAGATTTCAACACAAAATCAATCAGCTATGGAATTTGCCAAAATAAAATCATTTATAAGAGTTTGGCCTAGGAATCGGTACTCTATAATCAATAAAGAGAAATTCAAATTACTGATAATTAGTCAAAATAGTGAAAAGAAAGTTACGTGATTTTAGCACGTGACAACCATCTTCCTCACACATACGACACATGACATATTCAATCTGCCTCTGTGAGTGAACCTCGAATATTTTCTCACCAACGTATCAGTGTTCCTAATCTATAGCATTCACTGTGTGAAAACCCACTTGACAAGGGCGTACCATTTTGAGTTTACCTCTTATTGATCTTCGTAATATAAAACTGCAGTGCCTGAAAATACATATTATCATCTCTAAGGCCCGTATCGTCAGTCGTCCCTACAATTGAAGGGCGCGTTTATGGCCTACTTGATTTCGATAATATTACGTCTTCTTCGTTAACGTACCTACGTGTATGTCCTGCTTTAGATTTCCGAGATACTGACAGTTCTGGCTTGAGGTTATGTGGTTGTTTTGACGTTCAAGACACATGAATGAGAAGCAGAACCATAATTAATAATTTTCTTGCAAATAATGTCGATCACTCAAAATACCTCGCTACATTGAACAAATTCCACAACCTGGGGTATCCTCAAGAAATTGTTAAGTTAGGAAAATTAAAACACATGGATATATTATAATATTATAAAGGGTTGTCCAATAGGGACGCAGGAAAGTATACGTCAATTTGACATAGACGCCATCTTTGTTTTCTGTCACCGACATGTCATTTTGTTAGTTGAATGATTACCATTGATCGCTATGGAGTCGTATTCGATTGAAGACGCATTAAAGTTATTCAAGAGCACTACAAAAATGGTGCAAAAATAAAAAACACGTTTCGCGCGCTTCGTGAACATTTCGGTCGCAACAACCGGCCAAACGAAACAACCATCGGTCGTCTGGTGCGTAAATTCGAGGCAACAGGTTCTGTGGCAAATCTGCCAGGCTCTGGCCGGCCAAGGAGCGTTCGCACACCGGAAAATATTGCTGTTGTGAAGGAGAGTGTGCGAGACGATCCGAAACAATCAACAACGCGTCGATCCCAAGAATTGGGCATTTCGAGAACCAGTTTGCTCCGCATTCTTCACAAGGATTTGAATGTACACGCCTACAAGATCCAATTGACGCAAGAGCTGCGTCGGGCCGACCATTTTTCGCGCCGAACGTTCTCAGATTGGTTCCTCGAACACCGCCAAATTGATGCCAATTTTTCATCAAAAATCATGTTCAGCGACGAAGCGCATTTCACTTTGAATGGGACGGTAAACAAGCAAAACTGCCGCATCTGGGCGAACGAAAATCCCCGTGAGTATCAAGAGCAGCCGATGCATCCTCAAAAAGTGACTGTGTGGTGTGCATTGGGGTCAAAAGGCATCATCGGACCTTACTCTTTCGAAAATGCGGCCGGGGACGCCGTTACCGTTAATTCTGAGCGATAACACGTGATGATAGAGGACTATTTTTTGCCGCAACTTGAAGGAATGGATATGGACGATGTTTATTTCCAACAAGACGGTGCAACATGCCACACAACCAACGTCAATAACCATCGATTGCAGTCCTTCTTCGGCGATCGCGTGATTTCGCGCAGAGGAAATGTGCCATGGCCACCAAGATCGTGCGATTTGACTCCCTTGGACTTCTTTTCATGGGGATATTTGAAAAGCAAAGTCTACGACAACAAACCAGCCACCCTCCAAGAACTCAAAAACAACATCATTGTCCAGATAAATGCCATAGAACCGACCAGTCGTGGTGAACATTTGAGCGATATTATTTTTCATACATAAATGGTATAAATTAACCTTCAAAATAAAGTACCCAACCTGATTTGAATATCAATCTTTCTTGTTTTAATATGCGTTTACTTTCCTGCGTCCGTTTTGGACAACCCCATATTTGTGAGTATGAAAGTCCAGAAGCATACAACCAAGCTATTCTCTTGATAAAGGTTGGTAAGTTACAAAACAAATCATTGCATATCCATGTTATATACTTATCGCATTATTTCCAGGTGTGATTCATTCTCACAGACTTTATGAGATGGTTCCTCCATGGATAAGAAACGTTGTATGGCAAGTGCAATTATTGCATTGTCGATGTCAGAGATGCTTTTTCACATTGTGGGACTCTAGATTGTGTAGAGTGTCAGGCACAAGTATGTACTCGTGTAATGTGTGTACGTGAAGATCATAATTACTATCATTGACCATCGCTGTTGTTTCAGGGTGCTCAAAATGCCATGGTCATGTAGGATTACCAAAAATGAAGTGTTACAGAGAGTAAACAGAAGAATAGAGTTGCAGCATGAAGCAAAATCAGAAAAACTTTATGACAATTCCATAATTAATGACGAATGGGAAAATAAAAGAAAATCGTGACTCATCAAGGGAATTACTTTCCTGTTAAACAAACTCCAAACAACTAAATAAGTGAAAAAGGCCCATTATGTTGAAAATTGTAGTTACCTCATCGTCAGACTGGGTTAATCCTTCAAGATAGTTTCATTGCATTCATAATTCACTCATCATTACAGGTAGATAGATGTTGCAAGTAGCAAATTAAAACTCCCAACCTTATCATGAACTTAACATGTAAGACTCATTTCAGGCAAAAATGAACTTAACCTAACCTGGCTCTGAGGTACTGAATTTGATTTGTATTTAAACTGCTTGGTATAAATTTTGGATTTAAATCACTATTAATAATGGAGCCTTCAGCTACTGAGCATACTTCAGTGGTATCATCAAGAACAAGGAGATCAATGCACTGAGCCTCAAGGACAATATGTTGTATTTATCAAATGTCTTGCACCATATATTAATGTTGTAGAATGTGGTATATGAAGAAAAAGTGAAGACAGCTAAATACAGTTTCTTTTCCAATTTGTTCATTGACTTGTAATCTTAACATAAAAGGGAAAATTTATTAAAACTGTGGCATAGGAAAGAAAAACATTTACTGTTTGAGAAAGAAATATCAAAAACTAAACAGGTTTGATATTTGACACACTCATATGAAGAGCAGATTTTGCTGATCGTATATAGTGAATTTTACCAGCCTGTTTTGATAGACAGTGATCGTATGCTGTTTATTTCTCTTTTATTAAAATTTTCAATCACTTCGAAGCAAAAGTCGATACGAAATGATTTTTTTTCAATCTGATGTACGGTTTTTATAAAAACGATCATAACAATATTGTTCACATGACAATATCACCATGCAGAGAATTTTTTGGGTGGAAATAGTGGGTTGGACATGAAAAATTGAATTCTTTTAGTCTGGCTGAGGCACCTGAGAAATATATACAATCTATTTCTCGGCATAGTGACATTGTCATACTAACGATATTAGGATCATGCAAATAAACGTTATTTTATATTTGTAAGCGAATACCGTGCATCGAAGTGAACAAAAATTAAGCAATCAAATTTGTCTAGAAATGACGAGATTTCAATTAAAAGTTTTTATTTTAAGAGAAATCAGTTGCGTACTATCATTGTCTGCCAAAATAAGCAAGTGAAGTCGGTACGAAAGTCGCTGGTGGAAATCAAAAGAAAATTCGTACATTAAAAATACCTATTGATAGTACTTACATATATGCAGAATTTTAATAAAGTATTTAAAGTGATAGTACAGATCGTAACAAGAAAATGATTTTTAAAAAGCTTACCACCCCGTTGCTCAAAAGTCAAGACGTTTAGGACATACAATTATATGAAGTTTTCTTCTTAAAATAGAACCAAAAGTGGCCCTCTTAAATATTGACATTCAGTTGGATAACACCTTATATATTTTATGTAAGTAAATTTGAATTTATTAAAGGTTATTGTAAAACACTATTGTAGTTTTTCATTTTGGATATATTTTTTTACTATAATATTTGTTCATATTTCCTGTTATTATTTGTACCTTTTAGATATAAAGACTTCATTTGATTACTGATACTTATGTATTTTGACATACTATCTATGAATTCCTTAACAATTTCATGTATCATATTTTCCAGTTGATACTTGCAGAATATAAATAAAAGAATTCTTGGTAAAATAAATATTTTTTATTCTACATTGTATACCCACGGAAATACATTAGGTTCATTCAAAAATATCTAGAAATATAGATTTCACCAATTTTTAATCCTTGACGTTAAATAGATTATATGCTATTTTCTAAATTACAAGCTATGTAAACAGGGCTAAAAGGATATCTGATCAATTGCAAAGAAATCTGTCTAGTTTTGGGGTACATTAGATCATTTTTTAACTATATTAACTCTAGGTATCAAACTTCATGAAATATCCAATTTAAATATATTGACTCTTCTTTTTTTTCCTCTAATAATGTTCCTAACACTGGAGTTATTGTCTTGGAACAATATCTTGTACCCTGGGCTTATCAGGACTGGATGTTCTTTGAGCAATGCAAGTAGATCTGAAAAAATAGTATTATAAGTAATGGTGATTTCTTATGCTTTACTCCTAAGTACCGATATAAACATAAGTGTTAAAATATGTATTTCTTATAGCATTTTTGCTAGATCACTGGTTTCTTATTTAACCTATGGCATCAGCTTTGTGAGATTTTGTACAAATAGGAATGTTGATTACAATATTCAAAAAGCCACTTTATCGAGTTTAGTGTGACACTTCATCTCTCACATGCAACATTAACTATTACACATTTGAGAACCTCCTTCCCAGGTATAACAAAGCTCCTCTTGAACTCAATAGCTTTTAACTTGTATGAATATCCAGGCTTATGCCTACCTTAAATTTACAAATTGCAGTGTAACACATGTCAGTCACAAAAAGCAAATTCACTTATTTCAGTAAGGTTGGCTCCTTCAAATATGCTTTCAAGTGCCTGGATGCATGAATCCATTCTAAGGAATATCATTCGCCTCTTTATCCTTCCAAAATAGATATGGAGTTTTGTGCAATATATAATGCAATATCACGATAGTTTATATCTGCAACAAAGATGCACAGATTCAAGACACATTAATAATTGTACACCTTGGTGTGGGCTACAATTTTATAATCACATTTGTTAGAGCTACAGTCTGAAATTTTTAGGTTAAAGTTCCCACTAATATAAAAAAATACCAGATAGGGCAGGGCATGTTTAAACTCAATTTCAGAGCATTTACGCATTATACGTACTTGTAGCCTGACACTAGGCAATCCAAAGTCTGACAATGATTTGTGAACAGCCATCTCCGACATCAACAATGCAGTTGCACTTGGGATACAATGTTTCTTATCCAACATCTCATAAAGTCTGTGAGAACGAACCACATCTGAAAAAAATGCGATAAGTATATATACGTAGTCATGCCATAAGTTCTGTCCCTCGTTTTCAAACAAGTGTAGACCTGTTAATACTTGTCCGATTGTTTACATTGTGGTGTCAGTTGATTAAGCGCTTTTCGGGTAATTACATATACCTCAGTTTGTATTGATCTCTCGAAGCATAACGATGGAGTGGGGCAAGGCAGAGAACCGTATTGCAGTGATAGCTTTACATAAGTGTAATCACAGTGCTAGTCAGATTTTTGAACTCTTACGCGGCCTTCAAATATCGCGTAAATTTGTGTCTAGGACCATTCAGCGGTACAATGAGACGTCCTCTGTTGATGACAGGCCAAGAAGCGGAAGACCTCGTCAAGTAAGGACTCCAGCAGCCATCAAAGCCGTAAAAGCCAGGATTCAAAGGAATCCACTCCGGAAGCAGAAGATCCTATCCAGGGAAATGAAGATTCCTGTCCGGACGATGTCGCGCATCATTAAACAAGACCTAGGGCTAGGGGCTTACCGGAGACGTACGGGCCAGCGACTTACGGCCACCTTGCGACACATCAGGGCGACAAGATCCAAGAAGCTCTTGGAGAGGTACGCAGCTGGGGGATTCCGAAAGATTTTGTTCACGGATGAGAAAATCTTCACCATAGAAGAAAAATTCAACCGACAAAATGACAAAGTGTATGCAAGGAGTTCACAGGAAGCTTCGGAGATCATTCCGAGAGTTGAGAGAGGCCACCACCCTGCGTCAGTCATGGTTTGGTGGGGGGTGTCCTACGAAGGGGTCACTCAGCTCCATTTCTGTAAACAGGGCGTGAAAACAAAAGCGGCAAACTATCAGAGCGACATACTGGATCCTATCGTCAAGCCTTTAAGTGGTACATTGTTTGCCAACCAACACTGGGTATACCAGCAGGATTCCGCCCCCGCTCACAAGGCTAAGAGTACGCAGCGCTGGCTGGAAAGCAATGTGCCAGAGTTCATTGCTGCGGAAGATTGGCCCTCAGGGAGTCCGGACCTCAATCCTTTAGACTACAAGTTGTGGGACCTGCTAGAGCAGTTGGCCTGCTCCAAAGCCCACCGTAATATCGAGTCCCTGAAAGCGGATTTGATCCGATCAGCGGCAGCTATTCCTTTGGAAGCTGTGCGTGCAGTGATAGATGAGTGGCCCGCGAGATTGAAGCAGTGCGTGAAGGCCAAGGGGGGACATTTTGAATAAAACTGTTTGATTATGAATTCTAAAAATGTTGTCGAATAAATAATATCTTTCATATAAATATATCTTATCTTGTTTCATTTTTATCATGAGATTATCATGGGACAGAACTTATGGCACGACTACGTACATATGAATATGCAATGATTAAAAATTTTGTAACTTACCAGCTTAATCAAGGAACAGCTTTGTTGTAAGCTCTTATAAATACACATCCATTTGCGTTAAATTGTTGATTTTAGATCATTAATACCACATATGGGACTTGAAGGAAAATATCCTTCGGCATTTTATTCATGTCTAAAATGTCTTAAACGTCAAAAAAGAAACATAACCTAACATCACAATTGACTTCGGATTGACAGCAGACTAGAAATCAAAAGTAGGACATACATGCAACTTACCGAAGAAGACATAATATTATCGAAATCAAGGAGGCCATAAACGCACCCTACAATAATTGTAGGGCGCATTTATGGCGTCCTTGATTGTCATACTACTTTCTCTCCTTCAAATATTTCTAGATTACACTTGTCCCGTGTCAGCGTCAGCGCTCTCCTATTGTGAAGATATGTTTTCTTTTTAAATTGTAGGAAATTTCAGGCTGATAAAACATGATATAGCTCAAAAGCAAGCACAATTTGATGCAAATAGCTGTTTGTGACATAACCTTAAAATAGAGCGCTGACACGGAGAAGTAGAAAACTATGACAATCTAGGAGGCCATAAAGGCGCCCTACAATTGTAGGGACGACTGACGATACGGGCCTAAATCTCAGTCAACCCCAAAGTTACAGATTTTTTGTTGTTTCCACTTGTTTGTCGCCCCTTGTCTTTTGGAGTACTTAGGGCTTGCTTCGGACGACCAAACTTTAAGCCCGATAGTTTTTTTCTCCAAAACAATCAATGTACGTGGAATATTTCTGGAAATTAGGAGGAACTTGACAATCGGAAAAATTTTAGAACTTCGGACTTAGGTTTTGCAGTCATTTCAACCCCTAAATAGGGGTATTTTTCTAATACCTCATCTGGTTTTTAATTACGATTAATTTGATTTTTGGAAGTCTGATTAGGCTTATTCTTAAGGTCGAAGTCTAATGGGCAAAAACTGGCGAAAAACTACTTATGAATATTTGAGTTCACAGCTTTGGTGTTGGTTCCCAATTTCATTCTCAGCAACATTGAAACATAAATGCGCAAGTTAGTCGCCCTCTCATAATCATACTAAATGGCTTTTTAACATACTGCTTTGCCGTTCGAGTTTTTTGAAGTTGTTACCAAATTAAGTAGTTTCATTGATAAAACCATTTCAACTAGTGACCTGTGCGCATCGTTTTTTCTGAGTTTAATAGTACAGGGTGAGCCAAAAGTTCCTGACTGATTTTAAAAATTCATAAGTTTTTCCCAAGTTAACAAATTTGATTTTTTTTTAGAGTTACAAAGTAGAGCTCTGGATATTTTAGTATGGAGAGACTTACGCTAATCCAGAAAACCAAAGTCGTACAATTTTACTATGAACATAATCATTCGATTGTAAACATCAAGTGAGCTTATAGAAGATTTTTTAATGTTCAAAACGCTCCATCCACTGGGGCTATCCGCAGCATTATTCGGCGTTTTCAAACCCAGGGTTCTGTAGCGGACCTTCCCCGAACTGGACGACCACGTTTAGCTTTCACTGGAGAAAACATAGAGAGAGTAAAGTACTCAGGAGGACCCCGAAACATCGACCAGAAGAAGGTCAACTCAATTAGGCCTCTCCAGGACATCCCTCAGAATAATTTTGAAACGTTTGGGGATGTTTCTTTACAAAATTCAAATGGTTCAGCACTTACGACCACAAGATTATGCACAACGACTAAATTATGCCATTCGTTTTCAGCAATGGGTTAGAGAGGAAGACAGTTTTTTAAATCGTCTAATAATGAGTGATGAGGCGCATTTTCATCTGAATGGTTTTGTGAATACGCAAAATTTAAGAATTTGGGGAGGGCAAAATCCAAGGCTGTACACTAGAGAGAATTACACCCCATTAAATGTACGGTTTGGTGTGGTGTTACCACCCAGGGTATTATTGGGCCTGATTTCTTTCATAATGACGATGGAACTGCGGTGAGTGTTACTGGCGAGAGGTATAGAGCTATGCTTGAAGATAGACCTGATATGTGGTTCCAACAGGATGGAGCCACAGCTCATACAGCTGGAGCCATGGCATTGCTAAGAGGCTTCTTTGGAGAACGTCTTATTTCAAAAAGATCGGTAATTGAATATCCCCCACGTTCCTCTGATTAAACCGCGCCAGATTCTTATCTATGGGGATATTTGAAAGAAAGAGTTTACCGCAATAAACCTCGAACCTTAAGACAACTTATGGACAATATCATAATGGAAATTCGAGCCAAAATCGGGAAACATTGGAGGCAGTTATGGAAAATGTCTTGGAAAGGAATGTTATTAAAGTTTAAAATAGGTCAGCTTCTTTTGGCCCACCCTGTATTTGTGTCCGATTTTGGAGTGTTTTTTTCTCAAGGAGATTTCAACGTTGTAAGTATAGCTTAATTACATTTTATAAAAATTTACGTACAATTACCGCTGCAGTGTGTCCCGATAAGAAAACAAAGATTTTCGAATGCTCTACCTGAATAAAAAACAAACCTTGTGCTGAATTCCCTTGCGTTGTGACTTTAACCTCTATATTCTTGTACTTTACCTTAATTCACCAACATATTGCTTCTAGAACAAGATTTTATCTTGAGTCACTACCTTGCATGCATAGGAGTCGTAGAGACGAATAATCGGAGTGCTATCGTGGTTGGCTTTTACGAGGTAAAAATGTGGCATTGGCATCGCATATTCTAAGAAGACAGCCCGCGCAGCTTGTGCAAGTCTTTTATCAAAGATTTTGATATTCATGGCAAACCTACAAACGAACAAATCAACGTAGCTTTCGATCTGGAAACACTTCTATACAAGCTTGAACTCGTTCGAGCCATAGAAACTCTTGCTAAACAGGCCTACGGAGATACTGTCTTGTCAAGAGCCAGGGCTTTTGCGGTGGTTTAAGGGATTTTCAGAAGTGAGAGAGTCGATTGAAGATGAACCAGGAGGCGGAAGGGGTTCGTCTTCACCGATGAAGCTATCGACAGTAACCAGGATCTTGTGAGTGAAATTATAGGGAAAGAACTGAATTTGACTCACACTACTGTGCATCAGATCAAGGACAACTGGGTGTTACATCACTATAATGCTCTTTATTACACAGTAATGTCAATAAACGATATTTGATCAGTAGAAATATTCCTGTGGCACCTCAGCCTGCCTTATTTCTTTGTGACTTCTTTCTCTTCCTGGAGCTCAAGAATCACCTC